GAGCCCAGCTCCAGCGACGCAGCTGCCGGGGGATCAGTCCAGGGCGAGCAGGGAACTAATTGTGTGCTAAAAGCTGCACATTTGGTGTGTGACACAGCGCGTGCTTCAGCAAGCGGAGCCGGGCAGCGGGGGGTGATGGAGAGTAACGGCTGCACGGTCAGAAATCATCACAGTGCAGCCTGCTTGAAGGGTTTGTTTCCAAGAGAGCTGTTATCTTGGCTCCGCTGCCTGAATGTCATAGCCCCATGCCCCTTGTCTTGGTTAAGCGCATAGTTTTATGACTGTTTATAGGAGCTGTAGCTCTTGTCCTCTACAGTGGATGAAACAGTGCTGCCGTCCTTCGCGATGTGCCTGGAGAGGAAGTCGGGGTCCATCCTCACCGGCGCTCCTGTGCACAGCGCAGCCGCCGGTGCTGCTGGCCCCTGGTTTGCAGCAGGGAAGCACAGTCTCAGCTGCCTCTTCCCAGAGCAAAACTTTCCGCTTCTTTCCGTGGGGCTGAAAGTGAAATTTTGTTATTCATCCTTCAGATGAGACAGCAGCACTATTTCCCTGCGTCTCGGGGGAAACCTGCTTTCGAGATAAAGGTAGGCTGCAGAGATTTTACTTTCTTTTATGCAAATATATGTGTAAAATTAAAAACGGAGAGATACTGCAAATCATATTCCAGGCTGGTGCATGGCTTTGTGCACAGAAAGTAACTCTGGAGATAGGTGACTCAGGCTCACCTGCAGGCTCACTTTTGCCAGGAATTTTTTTTTTTTTTAATTTATTTCTTTCTAGCTAACTGAAACCAAATAAAATGTGGTGGCCGAGCCTGCCCTGGTGAATAGTCTGTCCTAGTTCTTCCCAAGGGAAAGGCTGAGCAGCCATACTATGGCCAACAATTATGAAGAGCTTTCTGAGAAAAGGCCAGCATCCCACCCAACAGTTTGCTACAAATCCGAAGTGGTGCAAAGGGCAAGGAGCCGCTGCGACTACCTTGCTGGCTGGGCAAGCAGAGGAAGGACTGAAATGCCAGGACATTTCTGACCTTTGAAGGTTTCTTCCAACCCCTTAGCACAATTTGAAACTGCATTTTGGAGCCTCCTTCCATTTGCCCTGGAGCAGCACTGCATTCATGATATTGTTACAGCATTAATGGATGTTCTCCTAAGGGTTATAGTCCTGCTGTCAAAAATTTTTTTGCAGGACAGTGCTTAGACAGTGATAAAATAGCTAATGGGGAGCTTGGAGTTGTGTGTAATGACAGTGTAATTCCCAGTGTCCCACGTGAATTGTGTTTGCATTCACGCATTTTGCAAAACAGAAACATCAACCATTAGGAATGATTGTAATTAGCATATTACTAATTCATCAGGCTCTTTTGGTTTTCATGTCATTTATAAAAACTCTCAGGCCCATACCTCATCAGTGAGAGGTGTATTACACACCAGCATGCAAATCCCCTGATTTTACGGTCTAGTCTCACCGGCACTTTCTCATAACCATGCTCACGCTAAGAAGTACGTAAGCCATGAGCGAGCCCATTGATTCCCACAAAATCCTGCTCACAGCCCGATGTCCTCGCTCTGGCAAGCCTCCACACGCCAAGCGAACTCCCTGCCCCTTCACTGGGAAAATGCTATACCCACGAGGAAGCTTCACACTCCAGCTCCGTGATTTCTGCACGGAAAGCTTTCTCCATGCACACAGACAAAGTGCGGAGCCAGCTCGACCAAGGTAGCATTGAGGTTTGTGTGCCCGAGTCCTGCTCGGAGCAAAAAAATGAAATGTTCAGATGCTTTTAGAGCACCGAGCTCTTCAGGAGCCAACTACACATCACATGACAGTCACGGAGGTATTGCAATAAATCACACAGCACTAATGGCCATCGAGCTATTTAACCAAGGCAAATTACTTTAACACTACCTCAATGCATTAATGAATCATCCATTAATTAATTAATTCAAATTATTGAGAATTGGTCTTGCTAGGCTAAAGTGACTTAGGACCAGATCCAAACAGGACAGCAATGTTTAAACTGTCTGTGAAATCGTGATGGGCACGAGGATCCCAAACACCTGCGGCAGCCTCAGCTCCTTTGCTGCAATGATGCTGAGCAGAGGAAGAAGCATGAGTTTATCCCGAGCTGGAGAACTCCTCCATGCAAAGGGAAGGATCCCTTTACAGAGCCAAACCTTTATCACACCTCGCTCAGAGATGAAGAATCCCCAGATGTCCAGCTGCTCACCAGCCATGCTGCCCCCATGGGAGTTAGTTCCTCAGGCACAGGCAAAGGAGAAGAAGCACCACTGTGCTCTTTAACTCCCTAGGATAATCAGCAAAAGTCTGCAAAGCATTTCTACTGGCTTCCACGTCCTTTCTTTACGCGAAAGTCCTAGATTATTGATTCTATGCTAATAAAATCTATCTGGATTGTTTATGAAGAGGCTCCTAATCTAAGGAGGCACCTAATCACTTAATATGGGTGTAAATTCACCGTAGTCGCAATCAGTTCGTTGACCAGTAATCTAGTGATATTCACCAAGCAACTCTTAGAAGTTAGAGGTGTTCTGAACATAACACGAATCCAGTTCTGAGAGTCAGCTGGGAGGTGACTAGCTACACATGGAAAGACCTGAGATGGTGGGAGGTTTTATGCTACTTATCAAATACCATATCCAATGCCTGGAAGCTAAAGCTGGGTGAATTTAGCCTTAAAATAAGCAGCAATTTCCCACCTTGGTGGAAGATTAAAAGCTGAGAGAGCGGATAAATCTCTAAAATAAGAAATTTCTGAACAGTGGGATTTCATCTGGGGAAAACGTTCTAACCCTCTGCAAGTGCAGGACCATATAGGCCCTGCTGCTTCGCAGGACAGGAGCTGCAGATAGCAAATAGACTCTCAAAAGAGAGGCAAAACAAGCAAGGAAGCAAGATTTCCCAATGGCAAGTTGTTAACCATTTCCACATGAGTTCATTAAAACGGCAAAAATCCTGAAAGGGAGGAAACGTTCTTTTCTCCTGGTATAAAGAGATGAACAACAAGGCAAGAGTTTGAAGGACTCACCTTGGTCTCATCGAACATCTGCACCAAACCGGGCTGCTCCCAGCCTGGCCATCTGCCCCAGGAAGGAGCCTCCCGTTACCCCCTGGGCCAGGCTGCAGAAGTATAGGGCATGTTAGTAAAAAGAGAAAAATTAGGCTCCTACCTAATAACAACTCCTATCTCTTTTGTAAATGACTGTGGGATCAGGTGTGACATTTAAGCAGCATAGATGGGAGAAAAAGGAAAAAAAAAAACACCCAAGGTGATGAGGATTGGCCAATTAAACATTCAGGAAGCTGTGTTAATTAAAGGCTTTTCATGAGGAGATTTCAAAGGACTTTGCAAACACAGATGGAAACCTATTTTAACAAGCAGTGATGGGTCCCAGAGAGTCAGAGTCAAGCCAGCAGTGCAATGTCCTCTGGTGGCATCTCCAATTACTACAGTAGACAGCTCCAGCAGAAGCTCGCTGTGCCAGAGCCTGCCACTGACAGAGCACAAGCCAGTCGTTAGGCTGATTGATTTTGGGGACTATTATGCCATTAAAATGAATAATTGCATAGCCAGGGCTAGTAAATTATTATCCCCTGCATAATATCCATAACTCTTTGTGAGGGCTCAAAAGCAACTGGATCATCCAGTAGCTCAGAAGTGGCCCATCATCGCTAGCTCAGAGAGGGGGAATTGATTTTTCCCTTTTCTTAATGAGGATGTGCAATGCAGCAGCTTTATGCACTAGTCAGCTGAGATGGAGGCTATTCAATAGGCTTGGAAACGGTTCACACCTGAAGCAGGTTTTCTTGGTTTTTTTCCCCCCCAGGAAGAGGGAAATGCAGAAAAGAGTGGAACAAGTCACAGTTAATTTCCTTGTTCTTTAAGTATGGTTGTGGTCACCTCCTTTCCTGCTTAAGCCAGGGAAGATGCTCCCAATGAGCATTAACTTTCAGGAATTGCTGAGGAACGCATTGAGGGTTTATGGCACTAATCAAGAAAACAGGGGCATGTAAAACAAAAGAGCCCATGCTACCAGCACAGGGAGAAGTGCCTTTGCAGCAGAGGCTTGTTCACTCTGTTCTTGTCCTAGGCCATTATTTTCACTTTCCTGAGACGCCTTTCATGAGGTGTACTACAGGGAACAGCCATCCCCTTTGTGCATAATCCTGCACGGATCTGTGAGCTGGAAACGTGGACTGCAAGCACCGAGACAGTTATAACAACCCCCTTACATGAGTTTCTCATCCCAAGCGGGTATGCGAAGTGGAGAAAAGTGCACCAGCTCCTCAAAATCCTCTGGAGGCCAAAAAAAAGCTACTGAATGCGTTTGTGCTCCTCTGACTGTGGCCAATGTGAATGGCAGGAGTGACGGACACAGCAGAAGTGAAGCAAGGCCTTGGTGTGCTGCTCAAGATCCTATGTGAGGGCTGAGCACGGTTACGGCGTTAGTCACCATCCACGGAAAGATGGATGCATTTTGTCTCTCCACATCCTTTGGTGCCTGGTTCAGCGCAGTCGTCACCCAAGGCCCAAGGCACTATGAATGATGCATGGTGGCTCAGCTCATCACCTCCAAAAAGCATGAACTGGGGACGTTTTCCTGTCTTAAAATTTAATTGCTTTATGGAAATGTAACTTTCAATATTTCATTAGGATCTTTCCCATCTGTTAAACATCATCCTAGAGAGTTTGGTGACACTTTAAATGAAGCTACGAAGAGATGCTTTTATTTTAGATGTAATTGGATAGCTGTTTTATTATGAATTAATGAACTATGATGATTAAAAATAATCCAATTGTAGCAAACCATGTATTAACAATTAATCCTGACTAAAACCACAACCAAACAAGTGCCGCGGAACTTTTATGACAATGTCCAGAACTAGAAGATCAAAAAGCAAAACCAGAGAAGTGCAGCAGGCTCGGAGGTAGACACATAATTGACCTCTCCGGGGCAGGGGGGGGAAAAAAAAAAAAAAAAAAGAGTTCTGAATTATGTTTTAAAATCACAGTCACTTCGGCCAAGTCTGCTGTCGTTAGAGGAATTTCGTGGACTCGGGTGCTCCCTGATGCAGGGCCACACCTTTCCTGGCTTGGAGAGGACACATTGGTGGCCACACGGAGCGTCAGTGGCACCATACAGAGCCGATCCTGATCTGGGGGGTCCTGCACCCATCCCAATTTCCAGTTAGGAGACAAGATTTCTGTATTTCAGCTGAATGCAGTGGCAAAGACCAGAGGCCACAGAAAGCATTTGCTGGAATTTCCGTAGGAATTTCACAGTTCATATGGGGCAATTTTTAAGCAATGAAGTCTTTGCCCTGAGAAAGTTGTGGGAGAAAGATCCAAAGAGTTAAATGAAGACAGGTACATATGCCGCATGTGCAACACACTTATCTCCTGCTGTTAAAATAAATCTGTTCTTGATCATTGTGGCGTCTCAACAGCTGCCTCCTGATCTTTCTCTGCTTCAGCCCTCCATTTGGCCTTCTTTTCTATATTCATTCTCAGCAGCGTGTGATCCCTTTTAGCAGCCTTAGAAAATAAACGGTGAAAATCATTGCATGAGAACATTTCCCACTAATAAATTTCCCCTCCTTGCACCACTTGCTTTGATAACCCACTGTTCTTTTTTAATATTTTGCAATGCAAGAAGTTAATGTATTTCCTTTCTTTACCAGATTGTCAGCATTTGTAGCTTCTGATTAGCAGAAAAATCGTACTGCATATTGCATATAGAGGGGCATAAGCAAGTAGGAAAAATGGTACAGCTTCCAGTGATGAAAAATTGGATGTGGAGAGATTCTTGGATTTTGGGGGGCATGGGGTTCCGTTGTCACTGTTTGCTCAGCTGATTCTGGTCAGGAGCATCAGGCCACCATTCCCATCCGCTCTGGACTCAGCTGCTCCATCCAGGGGCTCCTGCTTGCGGCCCGGCACGCATGGCTGGGACGTGCTAGCCCACGCCAGGAGCTGGAGACTCTCCTTCCCCACCAACAGAACGGGAGAAGCAAATCTGAGTAACAGCTTTTGAGAGACATGGTGGCCAAAGGCAGCGTCCTCAGCAAGGCCACTGGGAGCCCATTGCCTGTGGCGGCTGGGCAGGACAGGCCTGATGATGAGGTCAAAGCAGGGCAGTGCATCAGGACTGCTGTGTTTGTAGCCTGTTCCAAAGCTTGCTGATGTTATCTCAGTTATTCTGTAACCTTTGGCACAGCCTTTCCCCAAGACTCCAATATATAGGGCATTGCAGTACACCAAGTTAGGGTAAAGCAGGTCAAGAGGAAAATGTTAACCAGCCAGCGACACTTGCCAAAGCCCATCTGTCCCTCAGAGAATGTGGTGCTGCAAGTCCCCTGCAAGTATTACTGATATGCACTTTACTTTAAAAGTCTTTGCCTCACCTGGCATACATAGACCCTATGTGAAGTGGGACAGTTTTCCCCTCACTCCGAAAAAGTACTCACTTCTTTGCCTGAGACTACCATGGCCAAACAGCCCAGCAAGGTCAGCGCAATCATGACGTAACAAACTTTTATCCTCACTCTGTTCCTCGCAGCATCGAGGACCTCGGACCTGCAAAAAAGAGAACAGAATTTCCATCCCGCGGCAGCAAGGGCAAAGCAAGACACTGGAGAGCTGGGTAAGGAATCCCGAATCCTTCCAGCGACTAGCTATTTACGTACAATGCTCTTCTGCTTTCTCTTTCTTCAGGTGCTCATGGGAGGACTCAAAAAACATATGCAAAGTTTAGCCAAACCCCACACAGGTGAGGTCTTGCTGCTGTCAACAGTGACAACTCCTGCCCTTGTGCCTTCATTTAGTGCGTGGGAGGGAGAACAGCTGATAAACCGCAAGGGCAGAAAAGCCTTTTCATTGCAGCAATGACTTTAGCAGGGGCACATCCCTGGACATCGCATGGCAGCACCCAGGGCTCTGCGCAGCACTGGGAGACACCCATGGTGGCTGCAGGAGCACCAGCCCGTGGCGGGCAGGTGGCCAGCAGCAGGCTCCACCACCCTCACTGCAGCAAGAGCACACGCATGACATTTGGGCTAAAAGCAACAGTTTTCTTGCAGAACGCAGCACAGTGAGTGCTTCCACAGTCCGAGGCCTTATTTCCATCCCAGCTGCCCGCAGGACCAGGCAGCCCAGAGACGTTACTGCCAGCAGAGGCTGAGCCTGGAGGCTGGTGGCTCCATGATCCACCTGGAGGTGTGTCATTGAACTGCTGAACAGTCACAGCCATCACCGAGAAATCTCTTCCACCTCCCACAAGCGACTCCTGACATCTCTCCGAGAGGTGACGCTTGCAAGAGACTTTAGTGTGACAACTTAAAGTCATTCATGAAACGGCATCCAGCTGTGGCTTAATCACATCTGCAAGGGGAGGACCAGCTGGAAGAGCCCCCTGGAATGTCACAAGTCAGGCAGCGTTAGGTCTCCAGCAATGAGTGGCAATCCTTTAAGAAAATACCCCAATATGGACAAGAAACCATAGGCTAGGTGCAAGGAACATGCTGCAGGTGTCTGCCACCAGCGCTATAGATAGCCCCAACTCTCTTAAAACTCATATATCATTATTAATTGCTAATCATTAAAAACTAGCAAAGCATGTAAAACTCAAAATGGATGATATTTTACCATGGTGACTTCTGAACTTAAGCCACTCATTTTACAAAACTCTCTGTCTTAGTCTGAAGTTTCTGATATCTAACGCGATTGAATCCAGTTTGCTTCACAGGGGGGTAAACAAAACTTCATGCTTCTGAAATTTCGGATTATTTTGGGAATCCGGTGGTGGTAGCAGCTCACCCACGCGAAGCCCGTACCGCGCAGCCACTCTCGCCACGTGAGCACGCTCCTGGCCAATGCCCAAGCTGGAGTTTCAGTCTGCGCGTTTGCATCTGAAAGCGTGGTTCACGTGAGAAGGGTTTCCCGTCAGAGAGCACAGGTCTACTTACGATATGAGGGCTGGAATCTCCTCCTCCCTTTTAAAGCGTCCTGCCCATACTAACACCTTTTTATCAAAATTCGTAGGCTTTCTGTCGTTTTTGAATGGCTGAGAAGCTGCAAGAGATATGTGAAAGAAAGCTGTGAACTAAGTTTAAATTGGCAAAGAAGGAAAAAAAAAAAGCTACAGTGAAAGGGGAAAAGGGTCGAAAATAACGAATTTTTTTTTATTATTCTTTAAGAGCCAAATATACTTTTTAATGTCAACAGGATTCAACAACCCAACTGTTGGCCCAACTGTCAGGTTGAACAAGCTGTCCACGGCGCTAGTAACTACTTGCCCACATTCCCATCCCGAGAGCACCAACCAAGGCAAGGGCTGTCACAATACAGCTCGTGCCCAGGTGATGCCATTACCATGCTGCTACCGTGAGCAGCGTGAGAAAGGGACTCCCACACCTCTTAATGGGAATAAACCCAGTGCCAGGCTGGTGGCAGTGAGACCACTGGTAAAACAGAGTAAGCAACAGCCAGCCCAAATCCCGCAGCGATGCAATGCCTTGTTTCTGCGTTGCCCCTCTGTAAAGGAAGAGCACTGCAAGGCATCTGGGACTTGTGCATCCAGGCAGGTCCTGAATGACGATGCCTGTGCTTGCAAACATGGGATGGGTGCTTTGACATGCCTGATGGCTTCCTCCCCTTTCCACATACCCTGGGCACCCAGGCGCCTGGGCTCCAGCTGCCGCTGCCCCTCGCTCCCTGGGTGTCGTTCGACCACTGGTGCTCATGAGAGGAAAACTTAAAAAAAATAATTGCAGTTATACCTGGTAGTACGGGGACCAAGGTTTATATTTAATCTCCCGCTTCCCCTGTTTCTGTCGCTGCTGCCACAGCGTGCCTTGGAGAGCAGCAGAGCTGCCTCTGAAACGCCGTGAAGAGCCCAAGTCCTGTCTGTAGCAAGCGGCAGGACAGATCACTAAGAGGGCAACTTCACTTCGGAGGGCAAAGCCTGTGCCGGAGGCCAGCAGCGATCCCACAGGAGCACCAGGAAAAGGCATCTTTGCCCTTCTCCCTGGACACACCGGGGAGGGCAGGCAAGAAGCCCACAAAGCCAGAGCCGTGGTGGATTAAAAAGAGGAGGTAGCAGGCTGCCCAGGCACGGACACAACCCTGTCTTTCACAGCAAAGGTGCAAGGAACCCATCTCGCAAGCTGCTGGTGCCAAGCCAGCCCAGCTCCCTGTCCGAGCTCCCAGTCCTCCTCTCATCTCCGACGAAGGATAGGGCATCGCGTCCCCGTGTGGTTCTCATCCCTCCACAGACACCTAGAGGAACATTATTCTTTGTCCTTAGCAGATTTCGTGACACGAAGCATCAGTTTTGCATTAGCCACTGCAGAAGAAGCACTACGTAAAAGGAGAAGTTTTACGCCGTGTTAGTCCGATCCCTGGACTCACTTGGCGTCTGAGGAGCGATTATAACCCCGGGGGACGCAGCACTGAACCGACACAGCCACAGAGAAGAACCAGCGTCCTCTTCTCGCGGCTCGCTGCAAATAACCTCCCTTCGGCACTGCAGCGGAGCCGCCACCAAAGCATTGCTACC